GACCAGGATACTGTTCTTCAGACATTTAACTGTATTAACACGGTTTTGATGACAAATGATCCATTTGTCATTCCACCCATTCCAACCTTTCACCTAAGTTCCCTCTGCCAAAGATTTTACCTAAGCTGTTCAATAAACCTGGCTTACGAATTTAGAATTTCGGGTTTTTCCCCTGCTCATGTTGGGGCACTTGACTGCTAACCAGAAGGCTGGCGGTTCAAACCCACCAGCCACTCCTTGGAAGGAAGATGGGGCAATCTACTTCCGTAGTGATACTGCCTCGGAAACCCAAGGAGGGGTCGCTATGAGTCGGGTCTGACTCGACGGCACATAACAACAACAACAACATGTTGGGGTCTGGGTATACAGCCAGGGCATACTGGTTCCCAAACTTTCAAGACAATTAGTTGAACACCTTAAACCTCCTCTGAGTGAGGATAGCTTTTCTTGGGCTAATCTATAACACAAAGGCTTTAGGAGACAAGGCCCTGAGTTTTTTGGTTTTTTTTAAGCATTTCTTGTGAAGAGAAAGCCAGTGGGTTCCAGATTGTTTTAATTCTGAAAAACAGGTATCTCTGAAGAGAGGAAACAATACAATAAAAAGTAGACCAGAATTGGAGTTCCTTGCCATATTTTCGACATGGACTACCGGTGCAACACTGGATACATCTCTACACCTCTCAGAGCCTCCATCTGTTTCATCATCAGCAAAATGGGGCCGATACCTGCTGTGTTCCTTCACAAAACTGCTGTTGAGAATGAAATGTGATAGCCTGAAATAATATGAAAAATGAAAATGTACTTTGCAAAAGTAAGGTCACTATTGCTATAGTCATTGTTACTGGTTCTGACGACCAGAGCAGCTGATCTGTATTTTAATTTTCACTTTATCCAGAGTAAAATAAAATCCTCTGTTGTTGGGGGCAATGAAAATAAATTTACCTTCATGATTCCAAAAGTTAGAGAGCCCACAAAAGGAATCCACAGAGTTAAAAAAGCAAAATTCACAATCCAATAGTCTACCTTCCGAAATCAAGGGCTGGCTATATTTAGTCAAACATTAGGGAATGTGCCACAGGTGTTCTCTGGAGGGCAGGCCCACTGGCCACTTACACCCTTACCATCCTGCCACAGATACAACAGTGTGCTGGAGAAGTTGGCTCTAGGCAAGGAAGTCCTTTTACCTCAGTGCATCTGAGCTTGTTTTATTTGGAAAGAAGCTATTTTTCACGATTTACATGTAAGATCACTGTAATAAGAATTCCATTTACTGTCTTTCCTTATTTACAGTGTAAATTATTAATGCTAAAAATGAGTACTTTTAAAAGAAAAGAAACTGTCAAACTGATGACCAAAGGGTAGTAGTCATACTATTCAACTGGACAGAATTCCAGTAGGCAAAGATTCACTCTCTGGTTGATTTTTCCCACCTACTTTAACTACTGGAAAGCGTACAACCTCACTATTTCTTGTTGAAAAACAAAATCCTGACGGGATTTTAGACAGATCAATAATGTAGCTCTCACAAATCCTCCTGATTAAACTTTTTCTTGGGCTTTACTCAGAAAGAGAAGGTTCAATTGTGACAAATGACATAAAATCAATGGGCAACAGTAGGAATAATCCTAATAATTTACTAATAATCTTTGCACACCAATGAAATTCAAATGGTTGAGCTACTACAGGAAATGGTCGATAAGTCTTTTCAAATAGCTAGCTAGTATGGTCTTCCCCTCAATGTAACACCAAAAGCAGTTAAATTTGACTTAAAAGTTTTTTTGTCTTCCTCAAGAACAGAAATTCAGAAGTGAATCGTAAACTCTCATCCAAAGCTGCAGTCTGACAAAGCCACTGACTTTCTGTGGAATTTTAAAAGCCCTGGGTCTACGGTGACCTACAAGGATCTTCCTGAAGGAAAATGTACGAGCTTTAGAGGGCTCACACACACAAATTTGAGATGATAGCAACGTCTTTCTTGTAAGCTACTCAATGGAGCTTGTCCCAGCTGTTAGAGGGTCAGGGGAGCAAATTAACTTGGAGTTTTGAAGTCTGCTTTACACATACAACTGTCCATGTCTGGACAACCCCAGTACAATTTTCAGAAGACCAAACTGAGGAACTGAAGACCAAATTGGGGGATAGAAAGGAGTACCTAAGAAGTCATCTTACCTTCCTCTCAGTGTATTTATTTGAACAATTTAAAAAGAGAAAAAGTAGAGGATGGTGGGAGCTAAAGAAGGGAAAATAAAACTCTGGAAACGAAACTGTTCAGAAACAAGTATCTTTGTCATGAAGGGGAGGACAGCGGGAGGCATTCCTGCCTTGTCAATGAATTCTGCTCATGCATAGCCATGGGCCCCCAGGAGCTGGTCATCAGGCCAATGCACACCGTCCAAGACTTCATGCTAATGACTGCTTGGCATCCTGAGAGTCTGCCCCTTGTTCAACCTACTTGGATGGTCACTCTTTTGTGCTACTGTGGGCAATTCAGTACAACAGGCCTTCCAACTGTCCCAGATGACCTTCGAAGCAGAATTTCCAAAGTTCCCAAATAATGAAGTTATAGCAAGTAGATGTTTACATAGTTATTAGAGGAGCTACTCCTCAAGGTATTTATGAGGGAGGCAGCACTGATACCATTTTCAAAATAGGAAACAGGTTCATAGCGTTTGGAGAATTTGTCATAAACCACAAAGCAACTCAGCTGAAAGGGGAGAGCTGAGAAGGAAGCCGAAGGTCTGGTTGAACATTAGATGAACAATAGACTCAGCAACAAAATGACCAGTTTGGCCTCATCCTCAGGATCTGGACTGTAGCCAAGCCAACCAAGTCAGTAGTAGCACAAACAGAAATAGAACTTGGAGTTCCTAATTCCTTGGCATGTTTTGCTCAGTTGATAACCAGGGGACCATTAATGAACTGGTTTTATTCCCAACTTTTCTTATCAAGGAACAGAAAAGCTTACAGGTCAACCTTAAAGACAGTAAGCTTTCATCTTTGTAAATGAGTAACAAATTTCCGCACCTGGTAGTGTTCTAAACTTGGTAGCATGCAAAGGTTTAACTAGATTACTTCACAACAGAGGATGAACCACAAGAGTCTGGGATTCTCCTTCACTACATTCTTGGCAGAAGAACCAGATAATTTCTAATGCCCCTTCCAGATCCTGTGACTACTTAATTGAACTCTCACCAAGTTAAGTGTCAGCTTTTTCTTACATCTTCTCTTTAAGAATAGTATAAAATGAACATGACATAAGCCAAGAGTCAACCCACAGTATAAATCAACTGTACTAAAGGTTCACTCGGGAGCTCTGGTAGCATAGTGCCTAAGGCACTTGACTGCTAACCAGAAGGCTGGAGGTTCACACCCACCAGCCACTCCTCGGAAGGAAGGTTGGGCAATCCTACTTCCATAGTGATACTAACTCGGAAACCCAAGGAGGGGTCACTATGAGTCGGGGCCCACTCGACGGCAAACAACAACAAAGGTTCACTCAGTTAGGACTATGTGGTTCAAGCCTGAGATTAAGAACCTGAGTCAATGGTGGTAGTTTTGCAGAACATCCTGAAGGGCAGGGGGAATAGTTAAGGCTATGGAGTTGTCACTTTACAACTTAGACAAAATCACTTAATTAATAATAGAAGCAAAGACCCCTGGTGGTGCCATGGTTAAGTGCTTGGCTGCTAACCAAAAGGTTGGTGGTGCAGATCTACCAGCTACTCTGCAGGAGAAAGATGTGGCAGTCTGCTTCCTCCAAGGTTTGTTGTTGTTGTTGTTATGTGCCATCAAGTCAGCCCTGAGTCATAGCGACCCCTGGGTTTCCAAGGCAGTATCACTACGGAAGTAGGATTGCCCAACCTTCCTTCCGAGGAGTGGCTGGTGGGTTTGAACCGCCAGCCATCTGGTTAGCAGGCAAGTGTCTTAGCCACTATGCTACCAGAGCTCCCTCCTCCAAGGTTACAGCCCTGGAAACCTTACTGGGCAGTTCTACTCTGTCCTAGAGTCACTGAGTCACAATCGATTCAATGGCAACAGATTTTTTTTTTTAATAATAGAAGCAAAAATTCAGTTCTGAAGAAACTTCTTAAGATTCTTACGCAGGTCAAATAATTTCAAATGAGATTCATCTCAAGACCTTACAAATATGAAGTTCACTACTCAGCCACCCAGAAAACTCTCTCCTACTTCAGAACCTACCTAGGCATCATTTAAACTGAATTTTGATTTTTAGAACCAAAATTATTATGTGAAGATGTAATAAATCTCTCTGAATTAGGTTTCAAGCAATAGTTAACGAGCTGGTTTATTCTGCTATTCAAGAACAGGGAACTTCATCTCATACCTGTCTTTAAGAAGCTGCTACAGTTTTAAGTTTTATTTTTTCAACATAGGTCCCCCTCCAAAACTCACATATATGAAACAGCTAAAGTTGTTATTTCTATTTTGGTAGCCTCTCAGATCTACAGAAGTGATTTCAATTTCTTGGAATTCCAAAATAAAAGCTCCTTACTAACAATGCACCAATGGCTGCAAAAAATTCCCCCACTTTTAGTTTAGGGGAGAAAATTCTTTAAATCGCAAAGAATTTGTAGTCTTGCAAAGACTACATTGGAAGTAATTCGTTTTTTCCTCTAGAAGGGCAGCCATTTCCCCAAAAGCTTTGGTAAAAGTTATGGCTCAGATTTCAAAATGCAAACAGATATCCCTGATGCATCCGAAATGGGCCATTCCATTTCTATTCCCGGGATGTGGTGACTATGAGTTATTTTCTGTCTCAACTCTGCAAAGGGCAAAGACCCATCCCTTTGGTGTGAACTTTCAAGAGAAGTGGAACAGCACACTTAGGAGTCTTCCCCAAGTGATTGGAGACGTACGAAATCTGGATGGGAGAAATCTTGAGGGCAAGAGCGCTCAGAAATCTCCAAGCACTGGGCTTGCACAGGTTTCCACGTGCCCCTACCGAGCAGGTCCCAGTGGAAATCTGTGGTTGCTACAGTATGAAGAAGACTCTTCCTTTTCGCAGCCCAGGACACGGGATAGACTTGGTGTATGGCATTGGGGGAGATGATGTTGCATCAGGCTCTCCGCTCCCGGAGCCTTCAGCTGACTGCCAAGCCAAGGGGTGGATCCGGGATAACAGGGGGGCGCACGCGCGGCCAGAGCAGCAACCTCCACCCGGCCCCGCAGCGCAGTCCTTGGAATCTAGCGTGGCCCCCACCTCACACGTCCAGGTGGGGGTCGCGCTACGCCACGCTGCGCCTCGCAGCCTGACCCAGGCGGGATAGGGGTGGGAGAGAACTTGGCAAAACTCGGCCTCAGTTTCCGCGCCCTCGTGGAAGGACAGCAAAGGGGAGTCGTTTCACCTGGTCTCTCCCCAACTGGGGTCTCGGGAAACACGCGGTAATTTCCCAAGAACCCTGACCACTGTAAGAGGCGAGGCTGCGGGACTGCTGGGACGGTTTGAGGACCGGACCCAGCCGGGGAGACTCCACCTTCATTCCCTTCGACCCCCGGCACCACACCCCACCGTTTCCCGGCGCCGCCACGTCAGGCAGCCCACTCAGCTGGGCCTCTCCCCGCGCCCGGACCACCCCCCAGGGGGTGCTCTCACTGCGCAGCGAGTCCCTCCGCTGCCTCCTCCCAGCCCAAAATGGCGGCGGCGGCCACCGACCTTCTCGTCGCCTTCCTCTAGGGCTGAGGATCCCTCCGCGCCCAGGCCTGGCCCCCCCCCCCCCCTTGACCGGATCTATTTTCTGTACTGGTTATATTAACGCCATCAATGAACTCTTTTAATTGAGTTCGGAGAAGGCGGACCCGGTTGTGCTTCCGCACAGCTAATCGTTGACGAAAGTAGGAATAGTGTATGTATTTTGACCAATCAAAGGACGGAAGTGGTGAGCGCGGGACGCTACTTTCTCAGGGGTAGATGGGTTTTGGAGTTCCTGAGTGTGGTTGTTGCCATGACAGGCTCTTAGTCAGCCTTCCTAGGCTAGAAGAACTACAAACCCCAGCAGGCTCCGCGCTGTCAAGGCTGTCTCCTCCCCCCTAGCCTTAGTGCTCCAGCACCTTGACCAAGAGCTATTGCAACTACACAAGAGGTAGGGCTGGGACGTTGGGAATGCCACAGACAGGCTGCTGCACAGAGAGACACACAGATATAGTCGTGTGCGCAGTCCTTGACAACACCTAGGTCAGTTCTGCCTTTGCAAAATCTCCTTTCCAGGTCATTTCCCCTCTTCCAAGAAAAGAAGCCTTATCCCAGTTGGCGTTTACTTCCAGCTGCACGCAGTGTGACTTCTTCCCCTTGCCTACGCTTCCCATTCCTGAGAGGAAAGGAGGAGGCGACCTAGCCGCCAGCCGTGCTTCAAGAGACACTGCCTTCTGGAGCCCCGGTTGAGGAGGAGGTGGAGGGGCTGCAGGCAAGATTGAGGCCTCTGGGTGCAGTAGGGAAAGGACCTGTCTTAAACCTGTTACATATTGTCAGAGCCACAGACCCACTCCACTGGCAGCCTCCCCAGGGTCATTGCTGTAGATTATATATTGTGGCAGTCTCCTTTTCCCCTTTGGTTGTTGAGGGAATAGGGAGTTAGCTAATAGTTTCCTAGCTGCCAGCCTGGACCTCAGTGACTTACAGGAGGATAGTATGGGAAATAAACTCGGGCTTGGGGCCTGAGGGTCAGCACTGGGAAGATAGACTCTTAATCCTCATTACACACACGCATACCACCTCCCTCACCCCCCACCCCACCCCCACGGGAGGTGTGGAAACCAGGGTCTGGAATCAGCCTCAGGGGGGCTTTCTTTGAAAACGCCGGGTGCTACAAAATGGCTGCTATTGTCTTAGCAAAGACTTCCTGGGTAGCCAGAGCCCTCCTGAAAATTCCTCCTCAGGACTTAGTTTCTTTTGTTCTTTAAAGCAGGGGTCAGTAGTTAGAGGCATCTGCTCAGAGATTTGGAACGGAAGATAGTGGCCACTTCAAACCAGACCAACTGTAATAGTGTCACCAGCAGCCCTGGAGGAGGCCAAGGTAAGCGCCAACCCTCCCATCCACCTGAGTATTCTGAACTTGGATCCTGTCAGCTGGGGTTCTGGCTTGTCTCAGGTGTGTTGGCAGATTTGGAAAACACATTTTTAAATGAGTCCCGACTGTGTGCTGGTCAGTATGCCAGATGCTAGTTTTAGTTAGGTCATGAAATCCTAGTAGCTTTTCAAGGTAGGAATTATTTCCGTTTTACAGAAGCTAAGGTTCTGAGAGCTGCTATACGTCGTGTAGAGTCACGCAGGCTGCAAGCAGTAGACCTAAGGTATAACCCAGAGCCTTCTGACAACAGAGCCATACCTTGATCTCAAGGCCACAGAACTTGATTGAATATTTGCATTATGTCCATGCTGAGAACCAAGTCTGAAGCAGTAAGAAGAGCTTGACCAGTTAGTATATAATTTAGCATGGCAGTGGGGAGTGGGCTATCGCCCATGAGAGAGGGGAAGGCCAGTTTATCAGGCCCGTGAGGACATCACCTTCTCATCTGGCTACTGTTGTTAGCTGCTGTCACGGCAGCCCCTGACTCATGGCAATCCCGTGCACAATGCTTCAGAACATTGCCTGGTCCTGCACCATCCCCATGATCAGTTGCAGATCAGACTGTTGTGATCCATAGGGTTTTTATTGGCTGATTTTCATAAGTAGATCACCAAGCCTTTCTTCCTAGTCTCCCTTAGTCTAGAAGCACCACTGAAACCTGTTCAGCATCAGAGTAGCAGGCAGGCCTCGACCGACAGGTGGCTAGTAGCTGTGCGTGAGATGCATTGGCCAAGAATCGAACCCAAGTCTCCTGCGTGGGAGGCAAAAATTCTACCACTGCACCACCAGAACCCTCCGAGCCCATGCAATCTCATTGCCCCTACTTTGCCCACAACTCCCTGTAGGTGAGAAAGGAAGTTAGAGTAGGGGGTTAGAGGAGCTTCTGACCCATACTACCTGTATATTTCGAGTATTTCTTGGATTTATTTATAGTCTATGGCATACTATGGCTAGAAGGTTCAGAGAAGGCAAATGACTCAACCAGGTCACACAGCTTATCTGTTAATATACTGACTCCTCACTTACCATCTCGTTATTTGACACTTTGCATTTACAACAATAGTAAAAAAAAAAAAAATCTATCTGACCTGTACATTAACCACATATATCTGGCAGTAACGAATGCTGAGGTCTGAGGTGGGAGTAATGTGGCTGTGTTGGTTCTGTATCAGCTTGGCCAGGCCATAATTCTCAGTGGTTTGGCAGTGATATAATCATGTAGTCCATTTTCCCTTTTGTGATCTGATGTGGTCATCCTCCATTTTCACATAATGCCAATATTCACATAACAACCTGGTCTTTGGAACCCAACCATGTTGATAAGTGAGGAGTGGGTGTGGTGATTATAGAGAGACAAGCCTTTAGGAGGGAGGCAGCAGGTGGGTCTGAGGGGCAGGGCTAGCTTGGGTGGGGGAAAGATCATTAAAAGATATTTACTGAGGGCTGGAGCAGGTGAGTGAGTACGCGTGCATGCACGCGAGCGTGCACGTGCACACACACACACAGACACACACACACACATGCCATCCAGCCACAGTGTTGCTGATGGCCTTGCCTCTCCCAGGGAGGGTAGCAGCTCTATCTCAGTTGACCCCAGCCACTAATGGAGACAAGGCCTGTTCCTCTTGATTGATGATCCTCCTGCTGGTGAAGTAATAGTACAACGCATCGAACACTACACACTCTCACACCCTCCCACATACCTCCTTTTCCCTGAAGCGGTTCTCTTCAGGGTCTCCAAAATGCACATAGGATATCCCCAACTCTTACTGGGCTGTGTACAGTATGTCCCCCAACACCCACCCTACGCCTGTATGGCCTAGTGCTCACGTGTCTCTGAGCCAGGTTGTATATCATAAGACAACACACTAGTGGCAGTGGTTATTATTAGAAATCCTCCAAACCACAAACTTAGAGCAATTCATTCCCTGTCCCCTGCATTCAGTGTTCCCACCCTTACCACACAGAGATAAACAGATGCCTTGAACACACACACAGACACACACACACATACTTGGCAGAATCCTTTCCACCTCTTAGATAAGTTCTGGAACTCCTCTTTCAGTTGCAGACTGGAGTTTGGCTCTTCCTCTTCCCAATGGGAACCTCTTTCCTGCCCCTCATGTGGAAAAGTGATACACCAACTTCTACTCGGGTTAAATACATTCTTTTCTCTACCCTAGAACCAGGGAAAGGAGAGTCTCCCTGTGCAGTATCTTTTGGTTCCCCTATCTTACAGGCTATAAGGAGCTGTGGTGGCTCAGTGCCTAAAGGCATTTGACTGCTAACCAGAAGGTTGGGAGTTCAAACCCACCAGCCATTCCACGGAAGGAAGACTGGGTGATCTGCTTCCGTAAGGATTTACTGCCTCGGAAACCCAAAGGCAGTTGCTATGAGTCGAAATCGACTCGATGGCAGTGAGTTTGGCTTTTTCTGTTTTTTATTTTATAAGCTTTAGATCATTTAATAAACATTGAGCACTCCCCTTGTGTCAAGCATGGACATAGAGTGGTGAACTGAACGGACAAGATACAGTCTAGTGGGAAGAAGACAGATGTCTTGATAATGTGATCAGTGTTATGTGGGACATTAACAGGGTGACTGATAGGGTGTCACTGGGGAGGGGAGATGAGAGCTACTTTTTTTTTTTAATTGTGATTTGGGTGAAAGTTTACAGAGCAAATTCACTTTCCATACAGCAGTTCACATACACTTTGTCTCATGACATTGACTACATTTTACCACAATGCAACAGCTCCCCTCTCACTTCTTCCTGATAGTTACCTCTTCCCTGGGTCCATCCCTCCATGCACTCCTGCCCCCTGAGCTGTCTCCCTGTACATAAACAGCCCTTCTTTCTCCCATGATTGTTCTCTCCAAGAGGTATATCTACCTCAGGTAAATGTTCAATTCATATACCTGTCTTTTGTTTGGCTGGAAGCCACAGGTGTGGGTTCAATTCCAGCCCTGAAGCGCAGCTAGGGGCCATAGTCTCAGGGGTTCCACCAGGCTCTGTCAGACCAGCAAACCTGGTCGATGAGGGCTACTTTTGATAGGTGGTCATGGAGAGCCTCTCTGAAGAGATGACATTGGAGCTGAACCCTGAAGATGAGGAGTCAGCTATGCAAATATTTGGAAGCAGGATCTGCTGCATAGTTTAGGGGGCCCAGTGCAAAAAGGCTCTTTGTTTAAAAATTACTGAGAATTTCAAGATGATGACAGCAGAGCATTAAGCCAAGTGTGGGACTTAGTTCTGAGTGTGGGGCCTGTGAAGCCAGCCCTGTCTGAAAGACAAGCTTTCCAGGTAGAGAGAAAAGCAAGGACGATTTGGGCTTCTGATTGAGCTGACACATTGAAGGCACCATCCAGCCCAGTTTTCTTCTTGTCCTACTTCATTCGTTCAGATATTTTTTTTATTGAATAACCTACCCGGTGCTAGGTATGAGGTACTGTTGTAGGCATTGAAATTACAGAATGAACAACATGGGCAGAATTTCTGATCTCACTGTGAGTTTACCTCGGGGGTGGAGCAGGATGGAAAGACATTGGGCAGGTGATGCTCAATAAACAAAGTGTTGAAGAAGGGTGAGGGGCTAGAGAGTGGCCAGGTGAGCTAGCTATGGGAAGGTTGGCTAAAGGCTGAGTGGACAGGGAGAGTTTCTGAAAAGGCTGGCTGTGATCCCCTTCCCCTCATTCTCTCTCTTCAGAACTTTGGGACTCCTGGGAGCCCTGAAACACCCTCTGAGCTTCATGACCCTGGCAATTCCCTGCCCCCAATGCCTCAGATGGAGAGCCTTTCAGAGGATGAGGATCTTGCTGGGGCTGGTGGTGGCCTGGGCTGGAACACCAGGGTTCCCCGGACCCGGAGCCCAGGGGCCTGCTCAACAGAGGCGGTATTGGGCCGGAAGAAGCACCGCCGGCGGCCATCAAAGCGCAAGCGGCACTGGCGGCCGTATCTGGAGCTGAGCTGGGCTGAGAAGCAGCAGCAGGATGAGAGGCAGAGCCAGAGGGCATCCCAGGTACGTGAGGAGATGTTTGCCAAGGGCCAGCCTGTGGCACCTTACAACACCACCCAGTTCCTGATGAATGACCGAGACCTTGAGGAACCCGACCTGGATGTGCCCCATGGCCTTTTCCATCCAGGTTCTAGTGGGGAAAGCGAGGCAGGGGATGGCAACGGGCAGGACCGGGCTCACGGCGAATTCCTGCAGAGGGATTTCTCTGAGGCCTATGAGTGCTACCACACTGAGCGTCTGCAAGGCCGCAGCAAGCAGGAGCTGGTGCAAGACTACCTGGATCTGGAGAGGCGGCTGTCGCAGGCCGAGGAGGAGATGCGGAGGCTGCAGCGGCACTCCAGCCAGCACCCCTCTCGCCAAGTGGAAGAGCTGGCTGCTGAGGTAGAGAGGCTCCGGGCTGAGAACCAGCAGCTTCGGCAAGAGAATGAGAGGTGGAACGGAATGTGTGGCAGCAGTGAGGAGCTGGGCACCTAGGGGCGTCCCCTAGCCAGGCTGAGCCAAGGAGCAGGACCCAATTCATACCCACTCAGGCCAGCTGGGCCTCAAGGAGGCAGGTGGCAGATGTAAACCACTCTCAGCATCCTGTGCCCTCTGAGAGCAGCCAGAATCAGTTCAGACTTTAACCTTGTCATTTTCACAATTTGTTCTTTGATGTCCTCTTATTTTTCATAAATTAAAAGGTCTTGGTAAGACCAAACAGGAGTGGCTATTGTTGACTTCATGGGCTTTGGAAGGGCATTCTAGCCCGTAGGGCTGCTCCAGGCATACAAGCCCTGTGTGTCTGGGACTTGGGGTTGCAGTACACCCCTTGCCCCAAGTTGGGAGGGTAGTAGACCTGTGGATTGGGGACCTCTTGGGGTCCCCATGATGCCTGGATTCTGCTCTGTGCATTCTGGAGCAGTCAGACTGCACTGACAGTTTTCTAGAGTGGTATGCAGAGCTGGGAGGAAGCTCAGTCAAGAGCCCCCAGGTTCACCTGGAACCTAGCTGGAGATGCCAGCAGGCTGTGAGGAGCTAGGAGCTTCCCCTAGGGAGACAGAGTTGGGATTTTAGGAGACAGCCCAACCCAGGTTGTCGCTGCCCTATCCCAAGGGGTTCCTTCAAAGTTTGCTCCCAAACTGAAAAAACAGTTGCCATCAGGTTAACTCCAACCCAGGCAACCCCACGTGTTGGAGAGGAGAACTGCATTCCATCAGGTTTTCTTTTTTTTTTTTTTTTCAGAGGTGTATTTTGCAAACATTTTTTCATTGATAATAAGAAATAATTTTACATTATGATCCATTTATAATGTAGAAGTTCTTGCTAATAAACCATGTGATGTGTTCTGATTGGTCCTATTCTATTCCATTCTATTTATTTTGTTGAAAAACACTAGGTATAACCCACTACATCATTTGCTTCATTACCCACCAATGGGTAGTGACACATAGTCTATGAACTACTTTTCTAGAATTTTGAGGAAAATAAGCATAAAGAAAAGAAAAAAATGCAGACTTAATGGAAATTACATAAGAGACACATAGGGTTTTAGCTCCAAACACACAGTAGGTGTTTTATTCTTATTGTTTTAAGTGTTGAATTTAATTGCTGATTTTTTTTTTTCTTTAAGATTTTGTCCATTAGGTTTTCAAGGGTATGACCTTTCTTCTGAGGTGCCTCTGGGTCAGGGATTACCCAGCAAGCAAGTTGGGCACAGGTTTAATTGTGCTTACTTATGAAACCCAGGTGAAACCCTTCACTGTAGATTAGTAAGTAAGCACATGCATAACATGCTTACTAGTTAGTCTGTGCCTGCTCTGAGTGGGTTCAGTCCACCAACTTTTCTGTTAGTAGTCAAGCATTTAACCATTGACACCGCCCAGGAGCTCCTGGTTTGCTCACAGGCTTCCTGTATTTAAAGGCCTGGGCTCCATGAAGTCTGAGTGTCTTGGGTCTCTTTTTCCTTGATAGAACCCCCCCCCATCCTTTCCACACCACCCAGTCTCCCAGCATGGACTTGGGAAGGAGGTTAATCATGCCATGTTTGTCCCCTTTCTTCCTGGAGGGGCACTTGCAAGTAAGCACTGAAGGGATGCATTCTCCTGATGGAAAATAAGGCCCAAGAGGCAAAAGGAGACAGCAGATAGGTCCTTAGCAGTGCTGGGCTGCCTGGCCTTCCTGATGTCTGCCCTGTCTCCATGCACATCTGAGCCCTCTGAAGTGTGTGTGCCCTTCACCTGTGTGAGAGAGGCTCAGCCTGGGTAAGACAGCCACCACCAGTATGCCAGCTGCTGTCAGGCTCTGAAATGAGCTCACAGACCCTTAGACTCAGACCCACCCTTCTGCAGACACTGTCTCTTCCCACACCCTCCCAGAGACCTTGCTGGCAGCATGATAACTGCAGTGGTGCAAGGGAAGTTAGCTCACAAGTGTTGTGTTGATTCTGCCACTATGCAGAAGGAGGGGCAGAGGCCAGGCCAGCCCAGCCTGGCTCCCATTCCAGGCGCTCATCTTGATGGGCCACGTTGGGCAAGAGAAGGGCTCAGGCCTGGGAGCCGCTGGGATGGAAATAGTGACAAAACACGTGTGTTGCCAGGACAAATTTCATTTTTTGCCCTGCCACACCCAGGCCTAGCCAGCGCCTTCTATAGTGAAGCAAGCGGGGACAGACTCTAGTAAGGGATGTGTTTCAAGGGAGACAAAGTCCCATCTTTGGGGCATCTGCCCCAGGACACTGGCTGAGGGCTTTAATTTATTAAGTCCCTTCCCTTTTGATACCCAAACAACTCTGAAGAAGGGTAGGTAGGAATGATAGTCCCAACTTTGCAGATGGGAAACCCAAGGCACAAAGAGGAAGTGACTTTCCCGATTCCAGGGAAGCTGGCCAAAGCCTGCTTTCCTCTGTAAGGTGCGAGTCTGGGACCTGAAGGCCCCTTGGAAAGGCACAGCACTGGCATTCCTCAGTGTGGAGGCTGGAGGGGGAGGGCCAGGACGAAGGTTGTTTACATGGATTGCATATGTGTATGTGTGTGTGTGTGTGTGTGTATACAAGTGTAACTAGGAGGGGGAGAAGGTTCCAGAGGGCTGGGGGATGGTTGGGGGAGGGTGCCAAGGGCACTAGCCTTGGTGTGGAGGGAGAGGGTATGTCTGGGAGGCAGTTCCTCCCAGGGTGGGTGAGCACTGCTCCCTGCATGCAGAGGAGGGGTGGAGAGGAGGCAGGTGAGGGGCTTGGCCCTTCTTGTCCCAGAAGCCAAAGAGCATGGAGACCAGAAAGCTGCCAGCTGGCCTCTCCTCCCACTCCTCCCTTCCTGCCACCTCCCCCCTACACTTAAAATGACTGAAGAGCTCTTGGCCAGGGCACACCTCCACAGAAGGTGGATGATTTTTTTCCCCAAGGCTGGTGGGGGCAGGGTGGGGCAAACAGACGCAGGAGAGGGGTGTGAGCTGGGAAAACTGTCAGGAAGGTCAGTGGGGAAGGATCCCGTCACCCCCTTCCCACATCTGGTTTCCTGACCTCTGTGCTCCCAGTGCCCAGGGTGAGCCGTGTGGAGAGAGGAGACTTTGTCGCTGGGAGCCAAGTGTCTGAGATTCCGTCCTGGGGAGAGCAGGCTCAGCTGCAGGTGGCAGCCAGGCCTGGATTCAGCTCATCACTTTCCAGGAACCTTTCCAGTTGTTTGTCTCTGCCTGTTGGTCCTGAGGACTAGGCTTCTACCCTACCGCACCACAGTGATGGATGCTCCAGTTTACCAGTGTGCTGGGCTGGGGCACACCCAGCTCTCCTCCCTAGGGCTTGCCGGTACCTTTCTTCCTTCCAGCCCATTTGCTTTCTAGGACCTTCTTGGTCTCCTGGGCCAGAAGAACAAGATACTTCACAGGAGTGTTTGCCGACACTTCCCACCATTCCTGCCCATTCTGGTCTGGGGTCCCCCTGTTTTCCCCACCCCAGTAAAAAACACGTGTGTCCAGTGGAGCAGCAGTGGGGCAGGGAATGAGAGGTAGTGGCGTGAGCAGAGTTGCTGAGGGGTCAGGAGGAAGCTGCCAGGAAGCAGGGAGGAAGTTGGGGTGAAGTCATTCAGTATGAGGAAAGAGGATGACCAGGGCCCATCGCCCCTTTGGGGACTAGGCAAGGGTGGCACTGGCCCTTTAAGTGGGGGTGCCAGTCAATGCCCTCCCCCAGTCAACCCAACTTGTGGGCACACTGAGCATGTGCAGGAGCTGTGTAAGCGAGGAGGGGAGGGAAGTGGGGGATAGATTCCGAGGGAGCTCCTCACCCTGCTACTTCCTGTAGCTTCCCCCACTCCCCTTCCTGGGTCTGACAAAGGAGCCCACACTGCTCACCCAACCCCTGTCCCCATTCCAGACCCCAGTGCTGCCCTCTGGGGACAGCCTGGAAGGGGTGATTGGCAGGGCACTGAGGCCTCCGTTTTGAAAGTCCCCTCTCCGCCCTGGAAACCTTGGGCAGCCCCCATCTCTTCCCCACTGCCGGGAGATGGCACACACACTCAGCCTAGTGCCATCCTCACTTCCCCGTGTGGGTGTTGGGCGCTGCTTTTAACATGTTTGATTTCATTCCACTAGTGCCAGGTTTTTTTAAAGAATCATCAACCTGTAATGACACTGAAAATTAAAGAGAACTGAAAAGATGAGGTCCTTGCCTCCACCCACCGGGAGCTTCCAGTCTAGTCAGGGGGGAAGCAAACTCCACTGGCTGAAAGAGCTTCCCCACACTCGCACTCGTTTGGGTTCACCCCTCCTTCCTCTGCAGCGTGGTTATCAAACTCAGCTTCCTCAGCCAGAGACATCCTCAGGCCACTCTGCCCTGCATCTGAGGAAACTCTCTCCCTTAAACCTTTCCCCACCTCAAACTTCCCTGTTTCTGTATCGTCCTCCTCCCTTCCTGTACCTCAGCCCCTCCTTCACCTTCCCTACCCCATACCACCCTTCTCTTTCCTCTAATCTCTTCCCAACAGGTACCATTATTATTAATTCAGGTGACATTCACATAAAATTAACCACTTTAAAGTGAATAGTTCCGTGGCATTTAGTATGTTCACAATGTGTAACCACCACCTCTGTCTAGTTTGAAAACATTTCCATCAGCCCCAAAGGAAACCAGGGCCCAGTAAGCTGTTACTCCCCATGTTCCCTGCCCCCTTACCCTTGCAACCACCAATCTGCTTTCTGTTGCTGCAGATTTACCTATTTCTAGATATTTCATATAAGTGCAATCATACAATGGTGGCCTTTTACATCTGGCTTGGTCACAGTGTTTTTAAGGTTTATCCACACTGTAGCATGTATCAGTATCTCATTCCTTTTTTATGGATGAGTAATATTCCACTGTATACCAGATGCCATCTATTTGATTCTGACTCATGGTGACCCCATCTGTGTCAGAGTTGAACTTTGCTCCATAGGATTTTCTATGGCTGGTATTTCAGAAGCAGATCACCAGGTCTTTCTTCCCAGATCCATCTGGGTGGGCTCAAATCTCC